CCAGAGGGTTCTGGGAGTTGGACTTCTGAACTGAGTGAGGAGCGTTAGTCTGTGCTAAGCCGGCGGGAGGCGAGACATCTTCTCACAGTGAAGAACGGAAGCTTATTTTCTCTGAAAGATGAAAGCTTTAAGTGCTGTTTATCTGATGACTACAGTTTTGGTGGTCTAGCACGTCTTGCATGGTTGTTAGGAAATCCAGTTTCTCTGTATCTTTTAATAATTTTTAGGACTCCGTTTATTTTCCCATTTATTTTCCTTCGATTTTCCACTTCTTTATGCAAGTGGATTATCTTATACCTAATCTCTTCAGAATCTCCTGAAAAATTCATAACTTGTACATAATGTTGTTTTGACTAAACTGCGAAAAAGGGGTTCTTTACATGCTTTAGAAGAATAACATTTGGTTCCTTAAAGAACCTTGCAAAGGACCTTTTTTTTTGTTAAAAAATTCTGAGAAAGATATTCGGAAGTGTGAAGAATCTTTGAAAGTCATAATATAAAGGTTCTACGAAAAGCCCTAAATGGGTATAGAACCATTATATTCTCTGAAGGCTCTTTACACTTTTAAAAGGTTCTTCACACTTATTTCTCCTTTTCAGACGTGGCTCTTAAGTGGTCCATCTATGATAACTTTTAAATAACCCATAGTGGCACCTTTAAGATTCTGCTGATGCAGAATGCAATCTAAATTTAAACGTAACTCGTTGCGCAACTGGCTATGTAATTAAACACACAATAAAATGATAGTAATAATTAACGGTTACTTTTTGGTTGCTCCTCTTCTTGCTACTGCATATTCCTTGCCACTATAACACATGTAGAACAAAATATATCACACCAGTAAGCACAAAGAACATGAGACAGCACTTAGCTCCTGCAACCAGACACTGGCTACAGTGCTGTCCACTCCAACCCTGCCCAACTCACTGCAGTGAGCAGAAGCAAAGGCCCCTTCAGCACTCTGCTGCTGCAGGCTAGATACATACTGCTGTGCTCTGGAGCATGCAACCCAAACCTTTAATGGGTGCACAGCATTAGCTGCTGGCATCGTGCAGGAATACACTTGCTGCCTTTGTTGGGCTGCGGGCTTGGAGGAGTTATTAGGCAGCACATCTGTCCCAGCACTGCCTCGAAAAGCTCCTCGTGCTGAAAGGTCTGCTGGAGAGTGGTGGTAAGACAAGCCACAGCATGTACACTAACAAGCACTCTCACTACCAGTGCTGTGTCAGAGCGCATCAGCCAAGAGCTCACACTTACACAAAGGTGAGAACACAGAGTCTATACAGTCTCAATGAGAGAGAGAGATACATACAGATATAGAGAGATTCCACTACTGATACTTTTCATTAGTGCATTGATAACTTACCAAAGCTCTTACACTACAGTAAAGAAAATCTTATATTTCTGTACTGAGGGCGAATATATGTTACGTAAATTAGAGCTACATGATTGGGCCTGTCACGATTGCGCCAGCAACACAATCATCTGACCATAGATACCTGAGCAGCCTGCAAGTCTTTATTCTGATCACAATAATTTCCACCAATTTCAGTGACAAACCAAGACTATAGATCAAAAAACTAGTAAAAAAACACGTATATAATAACCTCATCTAATTCATTTCTGCTAGCAGCTCTGTAATATGTTAGCGCTATATAACCATTTTCAGCTAGATTAAACACAGACATTTGAAGCTTGTAAAAGACATTCCATATGTTTTATATGAAGCTTGAAACAGGCACTAGCATATATTTTACCTTGTATAATGCAGTTTTACTCTGACTTCATCATTTAAAAGCCCTCACATGGAGCTGCTGCTGCTGTTTTCCATTTCTAACAATTGTAAGAAAACATTCCTGCTTCTATTCACACATAGTGACATATCTAATACAGAAGGTCTAGTATATTTTTTTGGTCCAAATCAAAATATGACTACTTGATTCCTCGGGCACTTCCTAATTAAGTTGGTAGTTAGTTTATCTAACATGCCTTCTGTCCAGCTCCTGAAGAATTGGACAATTTTATGTTGGCCCTTTCGAGATTATAACCCTTTTGTTTTTGAACCAAAACAAATAAGGGTGTTACTAAAATGATTGCAGAGTATAAATATAATAGGCATGATGATTATATTAAACAAAATGAGCTAAAAAACTCAGACATGTATTTTGCTATCTGACAGAAATCATTAAGTCTTCTCTGAAGGCCTAGAATGCCGTGAGGGTTCCACACCATTAGATTTTGTAATCATATGTCGCAACAAACAGAAAGTGAAACAGAAAGCAGAAAATAATACTTGTTTATTAGAGCATGTGCTAACACTTGCTGAAGCTAACAGACTTACAGAAACAGAATTTAGCTAACCTGGTAATGTTTTTTCACTGCACCCTTGTGAAGACTACGGTAACGCTAGCTAGCTAGGAGCCTTTTGTATGTTGAATTTTTGCTCCCACAGCTGAGCTTTTAAGAAAATGCATTTAGATGGCCTTACAAAAAACTATGGCTGCTTAGGAAGACCCCAAACAAATAACTTTTTGGGTAGGTACAACAACTCTGGTGTTGCACTATGAAGACTATAATTAATCTATATAACATATATGTCTGATAAAGCCTGAAACGTTTGTGTGATCACTGGAAGTGGTGTATTGTGTTGCAGTTAGCATTGTTTGTTGTTAGAATACTGAGCGTTTGCTGATGTCGAGGAAATCATACGTAGCTTGCAATAAAGCTTGCTGTCAAGGTCATGCATTGTTTTTTTAAACAAAAGTATAATCAAATATCACAAATAAAAATCATACTATAATATTGCTGTATTCATGCAAAGCTCTTTGCTAGTACCCCTACCATGGGATATTTCTATAAATTCATAAATTTTTTAATTTCATGAACAAGTGAGCATTCTGTTATATTTTTAAATAATCATGCACATTCCTAATGTGTACTCACATTAATTTCTGATGCACACTCAGTGATTTTGTTCTTGAACTGGGCCTGGAGAGGCCTATGCACCATATGGACAATATACTAGTTTTGCAATTATGTCGCTAAATATTGTGATTGACTTAGGCCTTATAATATACTACAATGCACTGATAGATAAATAACATAGTTAAAGATCAGCTGCATTATTTTATATAATTTCCATTTGTTGGATCACATGAATACCTAGTTCAATAAAACACCAAGAGAAACACTTATCTTGAACTGCAATTGGCCAGGATGCTCACAGCTTACAGCAAAACATTGTGATTGATTAAACAGCTCATTTGCATATTGCAGCTTTCTGTATTGCAAAAGCCAACACAGTGCTAATGATTAACGATATACTGCGCATCAATAAATCATGAGCAAACAGTAAATAAACAAAGAGGCCCATAGAAGACCTCCCTATGGACCCAGTATTAAACATTAAACTTAGACGTGAGTTTTTAAGCATGGATGATCTGGTCCAGAGCACACACAAGCCTGTTTGTGCACCACTGCCTAATTTCCACTGAAATCATCACTTTCAACAAGCTCTGCAACAACACCACACATGCAAAATACATGCCATAAACACCTACAGGTTTCCCAGCGCCTGCACAGGCGACATGGAGAAAAGCGAGTCATATCCTTCTTAGAAACAGTCTAATCATTCTATCAGAGAACCTAAAACTCGTTTGTGACGTGACACACTCAGAGCAGACAGACAGGAAGGAAACAAACAAACAAAAGGCTCACAGTAAGCCACATGTGAAGACACTGTTCTGTAGAGCACATGCAAAATGGGACAGAAAACTGCCTTTAAAATCCAACCTGGAACCACAAGCATGCAAACCACTGGTCACTGATTCTTCTAAGTTTCTGCATAATTTTTGCATAATTTTGAAACAAAGTCATTCAGAGTGGTCTGATGTGAAATGGAGCACAGTAGAGGAAACTACTGACTGATTTATTTACAATGGTGGTGATAGGAAGTGGAGATCGAGAGGTCTATAAAGAAAAAGCAGCCAGTTTATTTACTATCCAGAATGACCAGTGAACCTTAAAACACCATGCCTGCACCTCTCTGCCCTGACTGAATTTTAAGAAATACACTTTATGCCAAAAGCTTATCTGCAAACTATCATAAAACAATGTTGCAGGGATCAGGCACTCCAATTCACAGCTATTTCATAACTATAACAGGTATTATATAAGGTATATTTTAGAGGCATTAAACTCTTCAGACGTCTGGTTCCCATCACCACCACTGTGACCTGGTATGTTTCTCTAGAACAGAACATTTCACGTCAAACCACTCTGAATGACTTTGTTTACATCTTAACCATCTTATTATGCAGACGTTTTGAATTTATAAGTAGAATAAGTAGCATAATAATAAGAATTTATGTTTATATGTATGATGTCTTCAAAAATACAGATATCAGAGATGGTATGGGATCAGAATAGATGAACAAATCCTATGATCTATTCTGTGGCTAAAGTTAAGTAGTAGGATAAATAGGACACAAATCCTAAATCAGACTTACTTTATCCTGTTTTCTTTGTTTTGGCTCAAGATAATGAAAAGTGTTTTTATTGTATGTATTTTGGCACTATTTTAGTATCCTTGATCCTTTAATTAAATGCTAAATGTGTATTTTTTAATAGCTTTTATCTGACACAAAGATAAAATTTCTAAATAGATTTTTAAATTAAATTAAATTTAATTTAATTAAATTTTAATATCATTTTTTCTAATAGATTTTATTTGAAGTGAACCACTTCGGCCCAAACCAGTTGATTTCAGACGTGCTTCGTAAATAAATTTGACTTGATTCAACCAAACCAAAAATTAAAACTACACAAAACTTTTATTCCAACACAAGACTTAATCTGTAACCCGAATACCAGCAATATGTCTTCTATCTATATCTCAACTAAAGCTGAACCAGTGGACGAATGGGAGACAGTGAATGTTTAAGCACAGTGAGGAACTGAAAGAGCAAAAGCACTTGCTGAAAATGGGTTCATCTCCTCACCTTTGTCTGCCACGGAGAGCATGCTGCTGACATACTGCTCCTCCGCCATCCACGACGCGTCGTTCATTTTGCTGGAGATGCCACATGATCCCACACAGTTTACCTTGATGGCTGCAGAGAAAAGAGCTTGAGTTATTTACTCGGCTAGTGAGCATGTCATTCCATATTGTAACAACCATTACATTTTTTTGTCTTTTTACTTTGTATTATAAATGTACTGTTGCCATGATGGGTTTCAGGTATATGACAAGGTTTCATATTACAGTACTGAATATTTTAACATCTTCCCAAAATGATTAGTGATGCAACGGTGAGGAACAGCGTTGGTGCTCAAAGAAAGTAGTCATAGAGGCAAACTAAAGAAAATACTATATCATGTGATTAACATTATATGTTACACTTTAGAGTTGTATTATTAGCAAGGTAGTCAAGATACACTGGCTTATTGGGTTAAGACTAGCTAATTAATATTACATAGCTAGCTGCCTCTAATCCAACAGAACCTAAAAAACTCTTTAAAATGTTGCCAGACAATATTTTTCAACCAAGACTGAACTTCTACCGTATATGAAAACCAAACTGGGGTGGATAATAGCCACACTTTTTAGCATTTAATAGCCTAGCAGGCTAATAGTACTTTTCAGTCCTGCTTCTGGCCACTGCTCAGCATTAAAATGCACAAATTGCCAGATGTCTGGTACTGGTTACATCCACTTTGTGTCTGAGAAAGTCTTGAGTTAATTTACAGTAAATAAATAATCAATTTTTTCATTCAGGCTCATGAAAAACCTGACTATGTTCTTCAGATACTCCAAACAACAGCAACATAAAATGGCAACTCTGTCTAAAAAGCTTTGCTCTGCTTTACTGTTTTTAAAAGGAAGCACCAGCCACCCTTATTTGCATCATAATTGATAAAAGGCCAAGCTCTCAACAATGGCTTGATTTGGTCAGGGAGGCTATTTTGTTTCTCCACAAGCCATTTTTGTTTCCCTAGCAATCATCAACTGTTGGAGCAGCAACACTGAGCAGACGGATTGAAACGCTGTGTATAACAGATACAAAAGACCTACACTCAAAGCTACAGAATGAATACCTCACAGTGGATTACAGTATGATGATAAATCACAAGCTTGCTTATTTACTAAATGACTGTTTCCCAACACAGTCCTGAGAGACTCTAAAAAGTCAATGCTTTTTCAATACTACCATGTGGTAAACAGTACTTCAACTCTCTATACCTACTATTCATTATTTAAATAATACTATGTTGTCATCGTATTCTGCCTAAAACATAAAACATACAGGTGAAACGCTTTATTCCATAACATGCGTGACTTTTCTGCTCCTAGAAATAATCAACTTAAGATATAACACATTCCGTATTTGTTTTAAACACACAGTGTGGTGAATGTTATTGTATTAACTATATAGCATTTCCTCAGGTCGTTGTCACTCATTCCTTCATGGCATGTTGAATAAGCCATGTTAAAAATATTAAGTTACTTAAGTGATTTCTTTAACATAATATGTTAATTAAGATGCAAAGAACCTCATGGAACTGGCTTCTAACTCACTCACATTTATCAGGTGGACAATTCTCCACAAGGGGGTGCTATTAGCACTTAGGTGTTTCACAGGGCAGTGTGTCTCACACTGTGGGTCCTTGTTCCATGTTCTGTAAACAGTGGGTTTTCAGCCACTTAGTGTCACTGTTGGCATCGAGCAGAGTGATCCTACACTTCATATCAGTATCAAACACTCTCTGAAAGCAGAGAGGTAAAGCACACTCCTGGTAAGCATATACTAGCTTGGGTCTAACATATAAGCTCATAGCTAGCATATTATTATAAAAGGGCAATTTGTTATAATGTTAAATGCTCTAAATGAAACTGAGAATCAAAAAATAAGATATTAAAGGGGAATTCCACCAAAGTTTCAAAATCATTGCATATTTAAGTGGTTGATTTGTAAAGCAAAGTCATTCAGAGTGGTTTGATGAGTCAGAATTATTCACTGCGGTGGTGATAGGAACCAGACATGAATCTAAAAGCTCCCTCACAGAAAGCTATTACATTAAATTGTTACAGATATACTACCTGATATCTGACACATTGTTGTACAACAGTTTTGAAAAGCAAATTTTTTAAAATTCACTCATGGTGGAGGGGTACATGCAAGATGTTGCAAGGCAGCATAGTGCCCAAATATAGCTATTTTTGCGTTTTAGACATTGTGAACTCTGGTTCCTATGACCACCACTGTAAAGAAACCCGAGGCATTAGGTCCCTACAACAAACCATCTCACATCACACCACTCTGAGGGATTTTGTTTATATCTCAACTACTAAATTATTTGCGAATTTTGAAAAAATCAGTGGAATTCTCCTTCTACACTAAAGAACTACTTATTTTTGATGTATCAAAAAAGTATAGAAAAAAATGTATCGAATCAAAACATCACTGTGCACTGTGCTGTACGAAATGGAAAAACAATCAAGTGAAGCCTTACTTCTAAAACAAACATGAACCAAGCAATCAACACTGGACACTGTCTACAGTGCTGGAAGCTGAAAAAAGAGCTGCATTGTGGACTGTCACATAACAGACAGATGTCAGGGGAGAAGGGGTGGGTTCTGAAAAATAGTCTGGGAAACACTGGACAAAATAGTTTGCTAATGTTGGCTCAATCGAACATGCCAGTGTACAGTGCATGTATGGATTTGTGCTTCAATAACACAAATGAGGATGTTGCAACAGAAAAATCCGAAAAAACCCCCAGCCACTGGTTATGTGGCCACATGTTGATCTGATTACGTAATAGTCAGGCAGAGCCGAGTAAGCCCGGGGATTTTAGCCAGTATGAAGCAGAGCAGACCAGCAGAACTCAGAGCATCAGCAGCAGTAGGGAGAGAGAGATAGAGACAGACCTGCTGGCCTGCCTGCTGACCACACTGTGAGGATGAGCTCAAACTCAGTGACCGCATGATGATGAGGGCACACAGCTCTGGCCAAGTGTCTACACACATACACACACACACACACACACACACACACAAACACCTAGGAAGGCTCAGCTCTCATTGACACACTGCATTCCCACAGCATCATGTTTCTCATCCACAGCCACAAAGAAGCACTGTATTATCCAGTGGACAAAAAGAGAAAAGGAGAGAGAGAGAAATGACTAAATGAAAGAGGTGCCAGTATCTTAGGTGCTTTTCACTGGGCCCTTTAACTGTCCTAAGCTTTGACAGTGCAGTCTACAGCACAAACACACATCACTGAGCCTAAAGCACTCTCTCAGTGAAAACAGACAGGTTTCCATACGGCTTTTGAATAAAATTCAAGTGAATAACTGAAACGTCACAAAAAACATATGCAAATATTGCTGCGTTCCCCTCAGGTCTGAAGAACAGAACAAAACTCACTGTCTCAATCATAAGAACACCTCTGAGAAATATGGTGTAAGTTTACAAAGAAGCATTTAATGTTAGGCAACTAGCAGGTCAAACGTTGCTGTTTTGTTTCATTTTTTGGCTACATTTTCCATTCTAAGAGTGCAAAGACAAAACACACTGACAATCAAATGACTCAGGATCAGCTGAAGGCACTTTATATCTGATTACTGTTTAAAACTGCTATCATGATTTCTTTAATAAGATAAAGGTACATTTAAATTTCTTTATTTGTCTGCTGATACACATCGCCTTCTGTCATGTTTCCTACACAAGATTCTGCATAGTTACAGTTTTGGTCATCAAGGTACAAACAATGCAAATGTACCCTCAAAAGGTACAACAGTGGTTTTAAGGTCCAGTTTTTTACCAATTGTAAAAGTACATATTTGAACCTTTTCATAACCTAACCTTTTAAAACAGAACAAAAAAAATAAAAGGCTGGAGACGAGACGGGGTGTGTGGAGTCAACACAACTTAGAAAATATAATTTCAGTGGATTTTGGGACAGTTATGTTCCCTGACTAAAGGAACTGAGATGTGTACCTTGAGGGTACCCCAGTGATAAGAGGGGTACTGCCCCAGTGACAGTTTCATACCTTTTCTTCTGAGTGTGTAGCCATGGCCAGGCATAACACAAACACCTGATCAGTCATATTTAGAGTTTATTTTATTCACACTTGCATTATTCTATTTCCATCATAATTTACCACATTTCTTTTTTAATCTGCAAAAAAATCGATGTGACTTTGAAGATGTTATTTGATTTTTACCTATATAATTTGATATTTTTCATCGTCATTTTTATTTGATATATCTAAATAAGCATAAAGATACATGGATGGAAACCCAGTTAATGACGTGTTCAATTTAATGAGAATGAAAAATCAATAACAGCCAGAGAAAATACAAGGGCTGTGACAATAACTCGACTGATCTTTGATGCATTGCATTGGTTTGTTTTTGTTGATTTAAGTCTGTTTTTTTTGTGCAGCCTTATTTAAACCACAGATTACTCAATTAATCATCCAAATAATTGGTAGATTACTTGATTGCTAATTGATAATTGATATTAACTGCCATAGATGATACTATGCATTTAAAAGTGATACAGCTTTCATGCCATAACTGAGAGAAGAACAGAGGAGGGTGAAGAATAGGGGGGGTGTTTTGATCGGACACACACGGCTTTGAGATTTTAAAGCTTGCTGTGTGGTCAGCCCTTGGCACACGCTCTAAAGCAGCACCCTGTTGACACCACACACAAACACAAGTGGCAGATGGCACCAGTTCACTGCCCAGGCAGCTACCCACTATGGCTGGCTGGCACAAAGGCCTCTGCATCTCTGCAGCAGGAATAACACAAAGCTCTAAAGGAGAGAGGCAGGAGAGGGTCCTCGGAGTTTCAGCCGATTCAGAGCGCATTCAGCATTATGCCACCAGTAGTACCATCTGCTGTTTGCCATCTGGGCACCATTGTTACCACCCAGGAAAATACTCAATGTGCTTACTCTATGCCAGTAATATATGCAAATTCACCTGTAGTTTATGTAATATATGTAAATGTATATAGTGTACACTTATATTAGTGATACTTTCCACTGAAGAGTGGAATTCAGGCCACATTCAGCTAAAAACTGAGAGAAAGCGTTC